ACATTGGTCTATAATTATGAACGATCAGACTCTTCTGAGTATCACCAAAAATTATACCTTGTAACTTAACATCTAATCTTCCAGAAAGGTTTTAGTTACTATTCTTTTATTGCTGATGTATGTTTATTTCTATCTTAAAACTTGATTTCCCAAATTTGAATGTTACAGATTTTGGATTACTCTACTTAGTATCCTTCAATTAAAGATATTTGTATTTAGATTGTTTAATTGTGTACCTAGAAATTGAATTGAGATGCTGATCTATAGTTTTTTTAGGTACAATGATTTTTTATTTGTTATTTTCACAGTTGGACAGTGTGGTAAATGTGAAATCCGCACTATATTGATTATCTATGTTTATAAAGTGGTGTTCATTTTTGGTAATTGTTTAGAATTCATTGCAAAAGCTTTTATTTAGCTCTGCCAATAGAACTTTATGAATTGATATTTTGAAAGCTCCTCGTATTTGTTGAGTGAAGTTTTATATGTTGATGGTACTTGTCAATAGAAAATAATGTGTTGTGTTTCCAATATTCTGATGTAGGATTAGGCATGTAGCTCTATCTTATTTGAGTTCATGTCAGTGCTAAGGTGCAAATTATGATTGCAGATCGAGAATGAATTTGGTTCGTGTGGAATTGCCAAAGACTATATGCATCATCTTGTCATCTTAACACTCTCACATCATAATGACTTAATTCTGTAAGTTGATGTAGTATGATACAAATGCCTTTTCTTAGCATTAAACTTCATTGATCGGTTGATATCTTCATTCCTTGAGGGGTGAGAAAATATTCAATTAAAAGTTTGATGACAACTTAAATGCCTTTTTGAGTTTGTTTTTTATATGTTTGGTATTCTTGTTATGCAGGAATCGGGACTCCACAAATTCTCTTTCATGGAAAGTGTAAATTCCTGCCTTTGATCCATAATGGTATTAGTTAAGATAACATTTATATCTTGAGTTTCGTCATTTATGCATCTGAAAAAGTCTTAAGCCACTGTTGTAGGATTAGTTACCTTGTTATGTTTGAGGGATTTGATTCAACCCTACGTTTCCTTGGTTGATCTGGGTCCTGACAAAATAATGAATGAGTGTTGTCATCAACTCTTATGTATTTTACACATAATCTTATTTCAAAAAGATTATAAATCAATATTTTTTGTAGGACTTGGCAGTTGATTGGATGAAATATTAAAGTGGTTCTCATGAAATTCTTTCTTTCATTTTAACAACCAAGTGTGGCCACTTGATGGAATAGAAGTTTGATACATGCAAAGAATATGTCAAAATGAAAACTAAAGATCTTGAGATCATTTTACAGTAGTGCCTTCTCTTCATTTTTTTTTATAATTCAAATTAAGCATCATACTTACATGTTGGGTCCAACTTTATAAGCATAGCCACTCGATGATGAATTCAATTAAGAATTTGTGGACATTGTTGATAATAAATAGGTGATTTAGTATAAATCATTGTGTCTTTAACCTTAATATTAACAAATTGTTTTCAGGTCCTTTTTTTAAGAATTTGGATAGAAGAAAGTTTGGCTAGCTTAAGCCAAAAAGATCAAAATTAGCAGTGACAATGACCTGAAGCATTATCATAGTTCAGCAACAGGAGTTCACTATTTTCAGCAGTAGTTTTGGTTACTTGCAACAAATACTTATGAAGTTTCATATGCTAGGTTAGATGTTAAAATGAGGAATTGAGGATCTCTGTATGTGGTTGAAATTCGAAATTATCAATGTAACAATTTTAAGCTATTTGATAATAAAATGATATTAAAAAATAAAAAAATACAAAAAGACCCGGTTCTTTATCTAGAACTCAGGCTCTATTTCTCCATAAAAGTATTTCGGCTTATTGTTTAAATGTAATATGACCCGGTTCTATTAATATAAATCGTGTTTTATTTTTCTTTATAAAACCCGGTTTAAAACCGGGTTCTTTACTAAATTCTGCATAGGACTCGCCCTACATGAGACCCAGTTGAAAACTAGGTTATATGATGCTTTTAACCAGGTTTTTTAAGCAATTTTGTAGTAGTGTTCATATCCAACATAAATTCTCATTCTTCTTTAAGGACCTATATTGTGCTATGTGGTGGAGTAATGGGTACATAAATTGCATATCCAAATCATTAAATGGGAAATATTTGGTTCCTGAACACAAACCAGTTGAATAGGGGAGAACTTATGATAGTTTATTGGTATGATGCGTATAAATGATGTTACGTGTAAAATTAAATGTCCCCATGTCGATGTAGGAAGTTTATAATACATTAGTAACGGTCTTGTAATTAATTGAAGGCGTTTGATAAACGATTCAACTAGACCATTTTGTGTATGAACCTATGCAACATGGTGTTCAATAGTTATCCCAATCGACATGCAATAGTCATTAAAAGTTTGTGATGTAAATTCTACGGCATTGTCAAGTCGACTTTTCTTAATTGGGTAATCGATAAAATGTTTCCTTAGGTGGATTATTTGTGCAAGTAATCTTTCAAAGCGAGATTACGACTAGATAACAAGCACATATGTCACCATCTAGCTGACGCATCAATTAAAACCATAAAATATCTAAGAGACTAGGACTTTCATACCCAACTTTGTTCAATGATTGACAAGAAATTAATTTTCCTTGAGAGCATTCAGCACAAGACAATTCATTAGTTTGAAAAATCTTCTGGTTTTTTTCAAGAAATGACCATTTGAAGTTTCAATTATTCTAAACAACATAATTGATCCGGGATGGCCCAACCGGTCATGCCAAACTTTGAAGGTGTGTTATTATACTTTTTATTTTCAATAGCGTGAGATTCAATCATTCTAATATTTGTATAATACAACCCGGAAGACAATACGGGTAATTTTTCAAAAAACTTTTCCTACCCGATATCATTTTTGTAATATTGAGATACTCTTTAGTACATTCATTACTTGTTTCAACGTGATATACGTTAGAACGAATATCCTTAAAACTTAATAAATTGCTTGGAATTTTGGATGAAAATAATGCATCACCAATTGCAATTATTGTCTCTTATGGTAATACTATATTCGCTCTTCCGAAGGCTTCAATCATTTTTTGCATTACCCGTTATTGTATTAACATTTTGCTTATCCAATTGAAAAGTAAGCAAAATACTTTTGATTATTAAAAATGTTATGTGTTGTTGCACTGTCTGCAAGACATATATCTTCCTCATTTCTTTTGTGAATATCCATATTTCTCTTCAACAAATAAATAGAAATAAAACCATATTTCTCTACTTTGATAAGATTGTGACGAAATAATTTCTCATGAAAAAAAAGGACATATTATTCTTCCATCACCATCCATAGCACCACTTGTCCCTTCTAGGTAGGCAAGAAAATCGGCAACATCCAAATGTGTCATTTCTAGTTGATCTTCTTGAAAATCATTTTGAATAAAATTTGGTTCGATATTTTTTTTCTTTTTGATTTTAGAGAAGCTTCATAAAGATCAACAAAATGCTTTGGAGAGCAGCATGTATGAGATCAATGGCCGGTCATTCCACATCGGTGACAAATATTTTCAACTTTCTTTTTGTCTTTACCACTTTTATCATTAGGATGTGGGTTTTTGTTATTTTCCAACTTCTGGTGATTACTTGTAATCTTGTTATTGTTTTTACAATAATTATGATTGACCTCCACGACCTCGATTAGACCCATGACTTTGATGATTATATGATGTTGCATTCTTCAGAGAATGGGCTAGAACCGGTTAGGCTTGATTGGTGATTTTTCATCAATAGCTCATCGTTTTGTTTAGCCACAAGAATACATGAGATTAATGCAGAATATTTTTAAAAAACTTTCTCACAATATTGTTGCTGCAGGAGAATGTTAGTGGCATGAAAAGTAAAGAAGGTTTTCTCTAGTATGTCTTTATCAGTTATAGTTTCACCATATAATTTTAGGTAAAAATTTCATAAAATAACTTGTAAGCATTGTACATGTGAACTAAAAAAAATAAAAAATAAATACATACCTGAAAATAACAAGAGTGATAAAGAGTTAAAGTTCTATGGTAGAGTTGTGCTGATAACGTGTTATAAAATATAAAGCTAAATTAAAGAACAATATAGGAAATGAGATTGTAAACAACTTTATTTCATTACAATACATAATACTCACTATTTATACTAGAAAAAGAAGATGAAATATGAGATATGTTATGAATGCTTATTATAATGGTGTATAAATTACACTCATAAAACTCACAATAATATTTCTTATAATGTTCACTAATTCTAGAAAGTGATAGAATATTAGGAATTCAATAGTCATTTACTAAATAACTATGTTTTAAACCCGTGTATTATACGGGTTGATTAAAAAATATTAAATATTAAAGTGTAATATCAAATATTTTTTAAAATAAATTTTGAAATAATAAAAGAAAGAAACATATTCATTTCAATTTATTAGTCATATTTATCAATAAATACTTACATATATAAGTATATAAGTATTATGTGGCATTTTAACTTTAAAATATAAAAAAATCCATGAAATGACATTTGGATATTATTTATTCTAAAAATACTACAAAATGACAAGTGTTAAAACTCATAAAAGATTGACAAGTGGCAAAAAAAACTTTCATTTATTAGAGAGGATAATTCATAACGGTTATGGAATATTAAAATAGAGATTTCAAAAGTTTATTCTAATTAAATTAAATTATTTTTAGACTCAATGGTAAGTTTCTTTATCGTTTGGAAAATTAAGGTATCTTCCATCTTATGTCATTTAGGACTTTGGGAGTGTTTGTCCAAAGAATGGAACAAGTTTGAAATGATATCACTACGATGAAACAAATTGTAGAATTTTCAACGACGGATTAATCAATAAACAACCGATAATTTCAATCGAAATGTGTCATTCCCTTAAATACATATATACCTACATACTCACAATCTTCATGTTCATGTTGCAGAAGTCATAAGAATCATAACAACAATATGGTACCCTTCATTTCGGCACTTCCTTCATCCAGTACTTCTTCCATTGAAGATCCACAACAATGGGTTAATCGAATCAGCAAAACCTTCCAAAACAATCTTCTTGTAGACACCGATCTTCCTGTCTGCATCTTCCAAGTACCTGAAAACTTCACTGCCGAAAAGCCCGAGTCATACATTCCTCAAACCATCGGCCTGGGACCTATCCACCATTTCCAGACCCAGCTTTATAGCAAGCGAGAACAGCTCAAACTTGAGACAGCAAAAACGATGCTAAAACCCTACAGAATCACATCTGATTTCACGGAAATTGTGATCGAGAGTCTCAAACAACTCATCCCAGAAGTCCGCTGCTGCTATGGTTTATATTTTGACGTCGATGATGATACATTAGCTTGGGTTTTCGCGTTGGATGGTCTCTTTTTGCTCGATATGTTATCAAAAGTATCCGAAGGAGATTCTTTGGAGTCATTTGAAGATTTAGTGATGATGGAAAACCAAATCCCACTTGTTTTGTTAATCGAAGCTCGAACTGCTCTTGAAGAACACTTATCTGGTGACTGTAACCATTCTTTTCTAACGAATTTGTTGATTAGAATTTGTGAAACTCGATCACCTCTTAAGTTCAGCAGGCGGATATCTCGACTTGATCTTGATATAAACACCCGTGTCCATTTGCTTGATTGCATGTACCATTTGATCGTAAACCATAACGTATCTGCAAAAAACCAGTTTATTCGAAATAACTTCTTGGATGATATATATCTTGAAGATGTTGAAAATGCAGTACAAATGGCAGGAGATTTATGTCCAGGAGCAAATGCTGTCTTGCAGCCTCTTTTGCTCATTATGAAGTTACCATGGGACAAGATTATTAGCTTAATCAAGACAATGATGGGGGAAACCCCTGCAGTACTTGAAATTGACATCCCTTCAGCTTCGGAGCTTTCAAGAATCGGAAAAGTTGAATTTTGCATGACTCCAGGAGGCATTCGTGATGTTGAATTTGACGATGAAACACTTACGTTTTACCTCCCGATACTTTCTCTAAAACCTGATTCAGAAACTATGCTACGAAATTTGGTGGTCTACGAAGGGTTAATGTTCAAAAATGGCAACTTTACTAACCTTGATTTAACAGAATATGTGGATTTAATGTGTGGGATTATCGATGGTGTTAAGGATGTGAGGATCCTTAGAGAAAAGCATATAATCGAAGGTGAATTGGATGATGAGGAAATTGTGAAACTTTTTAATGGGATTACTAAATCAAGCTTGAAAAATGAAGAGGCTTCGGAGTTGCAAAAGACAGTTACTAGAGTAAATAAGCATTTTGGTAACGTGCCGAGGGTTAAAGCGTATCATTTTGTCAAGAAATATTTTCTTGCATGGTGGAAAATTATTGTTATCATATTTACTCTTTTAAATCTAATGTTGTTGGTTGTTAAGGGAGCGTGTCAAGTTTATGAATGTAATAATCGTTTAGGGTTTGGGATTGGTCGGTTGCTCTTTGGTGCTGACGTGGAAACGAACCGGTTGTTCGATTATTAGGTCACTGATATTCAAGCACTTGAAAGAATGTAAAAAATGTTACAAATCTTTGGGAAAGTGATGAATAACCAATTTGCCATTTGTTTGGATAAATGGGAAATTAACTTATAAGGGTGATTACTTTCTCATTTTGTTCATGTCTGTATAATTTTGTTTTTTTACACATCTAGATAACGAACTTTTTGGAAATGTTTACATATTGTAATTATGACCGGCTGTAGCAACTTAAAACCGTTCATAATGATCATATATATGTGAACACTTCCTGGGGCCGAGCCAATAGGGGGACTAGTGGGTGTTGTGCCCCCCCACCCCCCCTAACTTCATCGGTATTGGTGTATTACTCCTCAAAGCCCACTCTCTCTTATATGTTCCATCCTCTTCGTTGGAATTTAATTGTAACTAATGTATTGGATATTAATGTGTTGTTATTAATGTTTTTTTTTTCAGAAAACATCAAACACATTATGTACAAGTAACAACGCACTACGTACTATTACTTTTCTTATTACAATATGTGTTTTATGATAAAGGACTATAAATTACAATATAGACATATATCTCTATTCTAATGGGCTTTTATATATATATATATATATATATATATATATATATATATATATATATATATATATATATTACGTTGTAAGTTCAAGCCCCCTTTATTCAAAAAATTCTAGTTCTGTCCCTGAACACTTCCAACAAGTTCGTTACCTAAATATGTACAAAAAAACAAAGTTACCCAGATGTGAATAAAATGAAAAGGTAATTACCCTGATAAATGATTTTTTTCTTTTTATTAAGGCGATCGATCATAATGTTTGTAATATTAATATATTCAGTTAAATTTCCTTAAAACAATATTGATGACATTTGTGAGAATCTAAATTGGTCACGACATGTTGGTAGCAATTTTTGGTAACATAATTATCATATAGTTTTATATATAAGAGACAAGAGCAATGTTATCAATGTAAATAAAAGCTACTTCTATTTTTTGTATTTTAAATTTCTGTAATCCATGGACCAAACTGTTGGATTAGGTGTCTAAGTCCATAACTATAATTGGTATGTACTTGAATTGATAGTAGCACACTCATTTTGGGTTTCCATCAAACCTAGCAATTGGACATGATGACTTTTAGAGAGAGATAAATTTATTATGTGATTAATAAATTAATATAAAAAGTTTATTAATGTATTATGAAAATAATATACTAATTAGAAACAATATTATTTAATTAACAATTAATCATAAATTAATCAAAATTAATTTTGCAATTAACAGAATTAACTAAAAGTTCAGGGTCTGAAGTGTAATTGTTCAATAGTTGAGCAAAAGGTTCTTGAACCTTCCTTCTTAAGGGATGGACGGTTTTTGGGGATATTCTAGGGTTTCTAGAATATCCCATGTGGATAAATAAGGAGTTGGATAATTACCAATTTGAAATATTATTATTATTATATTCTAATTAGGGTTATCCAGGACTTCCTTGTGTACTATATAAAGGACTCTAAGGCCTTCATTTTTCGGCCACTCATTAATCCAAAGGGATAGCCGAGTTTTATACCTCCTCTCTCCTCCTTCTAGTCATCATCTTGCTAGCTTAGGTGTGATTCCATTAGAGGCACGACACTTGTGGTGCTAGCTTTCAATAGATCTACATTTGAAGAATCATTGTTATTTACTACAATAACAAAAAGGTATGTAATTCTAAACCTTCTTTTGGTATTTTCGAAAATAGCATATATCTTCTAGATTTCTTATTTAATGTTTATAGTTATAGGTTCAATAGTGAAAACATAGATCCTTTAGGTTACATGTCAACTTAAGGGTTTTAAGTTTATTTGTTTTATCTAAATCTCATTAGTAATATCAGAGAGTTTGGTTTGTTTGAATTGCTATAATTGTTGACTTTGATCAATTAGGGTTTATTGAAATTAAATCCTAAAAGGCTAAGAATTTCTACTAGGGTTAGGGTTTTTCGAAACCCTAGCCCATCCCCTTGGATTTTGAAATTAGGGTTAGGGTTTCGAAACCCTAACCTTCCTCCCCAAGTTTTTGAAAATTGTTATATGGTTAGGGTTTCCTATTTTTGATAATTGTTAGCTTAATTTGATTAAAATGGATAATTATATAATTAGATAAATCATATACCCATAATTTTCGAAAATTTAGAGGGTAAGGATTAGGATTAAATTATTTAATTAATTTAATTAGTTAATCCCTAATTTATTTAATATATTTAATTAATAGTTAATTAATGGATAAATATTAAATCATTTGGTTTATTTTTAAATTTAAATTAATTGTTTATTAATTTTCGAAATTTAAACTATAAACCTAGTATTTTAAAAAGTTTAAAATACACCTTATATATATATATATATATATATATATATATATATATATATATATATATTATATGTATAAGATTAATTCGGTCAACTAGCTACTATGTCTCATTCACGAAGTCGGTCTATAAGGGGGCTACAAGAAAACTGCCTATAAAATGGTAGTTGAATGGGTGTCCATGCTCACCCACCGCTTCCTTGATTGGTGGGGGTCGTTAGCAGAACGGACTTGATAGGACATTAATTCCCATTAAAAGTATAATGATATTGAAAAGTACTAGAACCTTCTTTTATTAAAATCCCAAATCTAGTTACTTTAGGAAAATTATAAATTAGTATGCTAACCCATGAAATTACACATTACACGTTATAAGTCGTTAGTGGAGCGTATGTGGTTAAACAACACACTAATAGGGACTAATAAATAGTTGTAATGGGTATCTCATAAATTATCATTGTTGATGGAGCATGTGTGGTTTACCAGCACATGAGGTTAGCAAGCATATTTGCATGGTTATTCACATTTTGTTTGTGATCCTCGGTATCCCTGTCACAAATAGAAGATTATAATTTGAGATTAAAAATGTCATTGAATTGTTTCAATGAATCTCAAAAGACCTAGGAATTTCACTTAACTTAATTTCGTTTCCTATTTGTGGAATTGGTAAATCGTCGTTTACCTACCTTTATAAAATTTACAATTAGATTACGGCATCCTTTTTCTAAGTTGTGAATTATATAGTTGGATCCTAGCCTTAATATTTTATTTTGGGTTACTATATTAAGTATTATTCTTATCTAACTAAAGCTACCTTCCTTTTACAGATCTCTACTCCAACTGATGCTTCTGTTTCCTCCTCCTCCAACCACCATAACTTCTCCTTGCTCTCTATCTGCTCCAAAGTCATATTGGATGGTTCCAGTTATAATGATTGGATGAAAAATATAAAGATGTCCCTTCGATTTGAGTACAAAGAGTATGTTCTGGAAAAGGAACTCATTGAGGTCAAAGAAGGCAAAGCTACTCCTAAAGAATACGCCTTCTACCGAAAGAAATACGATGATGCAAAAAAAAATTCATGCATCATGGTAGCCACATGACCCCTGAGTTGCAGATGTTTTATGAGGACTACTGACCCTATGAGATGAACAAGGACCTTATGCAAAAGTACCCTAAGTGAGCTCAGGAAAAGTACAAAGTGGCAAAGTCCCTCATGGAGTACAAGATAAAGGAGGGAGAATTTGTTTGTTGCTACATGCAAAGAATGCAACATTATGTGGAGCGCCTTGTTAGGCTAAATGTGCATTTTGATGAGGAGTTGGCTATTGATATAGTCCTAAATTCCTTACCTAGTTCTTATGATCAGTTCATTCTGACCTATCATCTGAACAACACTGAGACCACCTTGGCTCAATTGCACAACTTTTTGCAGACAAATGAAGCGGGAATGAAAGGAAAAGGTTTAGCATCCACTCCTGGTAGTGTTTTCGTCCTATCCATTGGACAAGGAAAGGGTAAAATGAGGAAAGGTCCTCCCAAGAAAAACTGGAAGAGAAAGTCTCATACATGGCCATCCAGTAGTGGCCCCAAAGGAAAGTCCAGTTCTGATAACCCACCATTTTCTTATCCCAAAGAGGATATTTGCTTTTACTGCAACGGCAAGAGGCATTCGAAAAGAAGTTACCCAAAGTATCTTCAAGATATCAAGGATGGCAAGGTGAAGCCATCTTCTACAAGTATATACACTATTTCATCTAATAACTCATCATCTTGTCGTTCCTGGGTCCTTGATACTTGATGTGGATTTCACATTTGCTCTGATTTGCAGGGTCTAAGGAGAAATGAGGAAGTGGAGCACGGTAGAATGAACTTTATCATGGGGAATATGCGATCTTCTCATGTTACCAAGATTGGAGTTTATATTCTAGTGCTTAGTAATGGTGTTTCTTTAGATTTAATAAATTGTTGCTACTCGCCAGAAATGACAAGAAACGTTATCTCTTTTCATGCATTGTTCAGACAAGGGTTTAGATATTCATTTAATGATTTTAATGGTTCTATTTCTGTTTATAAAAATGGTGTTTTTATATTGGAGGCTTTACCTTCTGATGGTGTGTATGAAATTTTGACGTGTGTTAATAATTTAGGCAATAATGTGTTTCATATTGATTCGTCTAATGGTGTAGACAAAGCGTGTTTGTGGCATTGTCGTCTTGGACACATTAACGAGAAACACATATCCCAACTCCTAAAGAATGGAGTTTTGCAATCATTTGACCTAAGTTCAGATGATACATGTGAATCTTGTCTTTTTCAGAAAGATGACAAAATCACCTTTCACTGGATCTTATAAAAGAGGTGAAGGTTTGTTGGATCTCATATACACGGATGTATGTGCCCTTCAGATCATCCACAAGGGATGCTAATCGATTCTTTGTAACTTTCACTAATGATTATAGCAGATATGGTTATATCTACTTAATCAAGCATAAGTCATCTAGGGTTAACAATAAGGTATGTGTAAACCTTCTTTTGGTATTTTTGAAAATAGCATATACCATCTAGGGTTTATTTTTTGATGTTCATAGTTATAGGTTCAATAGTGAAAACATAGATCTTTTAGGTTGCATGTGAACTTAAGGGT